AGGTACCGCTTCTTTTGGCGTACCGGTCGACTTCCTTCCCTCACGGCCAACCGGTGGCAGATAACAGAGCGATCTATCCCGGGCATATCCGCCACGCTCCATGCGAATATGCCCGCGTACTCTTGGAGGACCCGTGTAATCTGCTCCTTGAGATCCTCGGGGAGATTTGCTCCAATTCTGACCATCCTCGAAGAATCACCCGGGTGAAGTTCGATTTCCACCGTTTCAGCCTCGGGCTCCAGTTTCTCCCGGGTCTCTCCTTTTGTGATCTCTTGGGAGATGACATTGACCCCCCTGGACATTTTCTTGACTGCCCGGGCATAGCACTCCCGGGCGTTCCTCTGGTCGCCCTTCACCTCACCCACACCACCTGGAGTGTGGAACTTCATGCATAGATGAGGCATGGAAATCACCGCCCCGACTTTATTGATGCCTGGCCTTCCTAGAATTGCGTTGTGGACGCATTTGATGTCCACAACTATGAACCGCATCTTCTTCCACACGGTCTTTTCACCTGATCCTAGTTCGACCGGTAGAACTATGGATCCTTCAGCTTCAACGGTATCCCCTGTGAAGCCTGAGAGAGGGGTCTTGAGGGTTCAAGTTGTGTTCGACACAACCTGAGTTTTTGGAAGGTCTCCAGGTATAAGATGTTGACACTGCTGCCGGTATCAACAAGTACCCGTGCGACATCTACCCCATTAATGTCCATGGTGATGACCAATGGATCATTGTGATCTTCACCGGTAGGAGGGAGATCCCGGTCAGTAAAGACGATTGGCTCCCTCCTAGTATGTTTACGCCTGGGCGGTTCAGCACTCACTTCTCCCACGTAAATGCTCCGGACCCAGTTCTTCCGCTCCGCGGCTGAATCTCCACCCTCGGGTCCGCCAAAGATCATGCCGATGTGTTCTTTTTCCGGGGCAGGTTGCCGCTCCCTTGGCCGGTTATTCCTCCGTCGGTCGTTGTCCCGGTCATTCCCTGGGGCAGTTGGCCTAACCCATTGATGACTCTTCTCCTGGGCTTTCTGCAAGTAATCTTTGCCCAGCTCTCCACTGTCGATCATCTGCCGGATGACCCCTTTAACACTCTTGCATTCGGAGGTGTTATGGGAATCAGACCTGTGGTACGAACAATAGGTGCTCGACCACTGCCGCCCTACTTGACCGGTAGGGTTTTCTGGAGGAATGACCGGTGCTTTCCGGACTTCTTGGCATTCTTCTGTATTGACCACTCGGATGACCGGGTCATAGTGGTGCCTCGGCCGGCTAGGTCCCGGTGCTTCTTCCTTCTTGACCTGCATCGGCTTGGGCTTGTGACCATGCTCAGCTTCTCTCTTTGCCCGGAGCTGGGTTTCAGCTTCAGCAAACTCCCATGCAGTATGGTAGGCCTCTTGGTATGTGGCTGGGGGTTTCCGGCAGAACTCCTTGTATAGTTCCCCAGCACGCAAGCCATTCAAGAGGAGGGAGAGGACGGTCTTGTCATCCATCTCTTCCACCTTGTCTACCTCTTCCTTCCACCGGGTAAGGAACTAAGTGAGGTTCTCAGACTCCCTCTGCCCGGCTGTACTAAGATAGGTGAACTTCTTCCTCTTTGTACAATTCTCCTAGAACTTGGCCTTGAATTTTGAGGCCAAATCACTGAACGAGTCAATGCTTCCCGGGCGAAGCTTATTGAACCATTCAGTGGCTCGGTTCCGCAAGGTCTGGAAGAAAAGTAGGCAGTTTTCTTCATCGGTGCAACCGTTCATGGTCGCACTCTGGTTGAAGGAGTCCAGGTGGATCTCCGGATCTTCCTTCCCGGTGAATCTGGGGGCGTCGATCTTGACCTTTCGCGGGAAAGGTGTCAGATGGACCCTTGTGGTGAACGGGGACCCTGCCAGGGGTTTGTCCCGGTCATTCTTCTCCCCGACCTTCTTTGCCAACCTTTCCAGCTTTGCCTCCATTTGCTGGACGCGGTCGTTTGGGATGGTTAACCGGTTCGCCACCGGTAACCTGGGCTGGCTCTCTGCCTCCCCTTCCTGGTGGGAGGCCCTCGTCCTCGCTGGCTCCCGCCGGTTAGACCGGGAGCGCCGGGTGCGGGCAGGCTCGGCCTCCCGCACCTCGCCTAGCCGGGCGAATGCGCTGACATGGGCAACACTCTGCCCCAGCCTCTGCTTGGCCGACTTCCTCTGGCCTTCCTCCCTATCCCCCAGCCTTTCGAAGGCGGAGTTTCGGGAGGTCGCTGGCCGGATGTTTTTACCTTTCTTCTTCTTGTGGGCCCTCGGGATGTCCCACTCGCCGTCATCGCTCTCAATCGAGACGCAATGACCATCAGGAGTGACATGTGGATCCGTAGCTTGCGGGGGACGCGACGGCCCTGCAGCATTAAGTGCACCGACCAAGTTGACCGGGGCCATGGTGCTGACCAGCTGGGGCTGGAAAGGTGATGGTTGCGGCATCGGCGTTTGGAACGACGTCACTGCCATCGGAGCTTGTAGAGGCATCGTCCCCGCGCCTGGAAGGGCGAATGGGAACATACCAGGGAGGAAAGGCATCCCCCCGTTCTGTTGGCACATGGCCATGACCTGGCCAAAGCCCTGGATGGCTTGTAGGTTGGCTGGGTCATTCATGAACTGAGCCATGCTCGGTGGGAACGTTACCCTCGGTCCAGCGGAAGGGACGGGGGTCACGAAGGGACTGATCACGCTGGCCGTCGGGACAGAGCTCAGACCCAGAGGCAACACCGGGGCCGAAATCACC